AGCTTGGTGGAGAGTTGCAGGAAAGGACACCAGAGGGCAAAGACACAGCAAGCTTCAAGGGATCGTTTTCAACAGGAGAATTATGACGAACACTTTTATCTCTTTCTGAATGTTGCTTGTAAGATGCAAGTGTTGACCAAGTAGCAGATTCCCCATATCCATTGCTCTGAGCGTCTCTGGGAGGACTGCACCACCTCGACGTCACATCGGAAGGCTTGACACCACGACCAGTGTTCCCCAGACCTTTCCTCCTGTCTTTCTGTGCCAGGACGACATCTAACCTTGTGCAGTAAGCTCCTGGACTGCTTGGAGGCGAGCTGGCATTTGCTGGAGCGATCTCTCCGGTTGCTTGACCAGCGGAAAGGCAGCATGCCGATGCTGGCATTTTTTGGAAAGGCCTGTCCCGCACAACAGATTCAAAAGGTGGTGGTGGGGTCATTCTGCTGGAAGACAGCATCACTTCCACCGTGGAGACATAGATGGGTGCAGATGAAAGTTTGCAGCGATGGCCCCTGCATGACATTCTGCAGTTTAGTCCTAAACGGTGCAAAACCAAAGCCGCAAAAGCCTGTCTTTCCCCCTGTTTTTAAAACCAACGCCTAGTCCTTTTTCCTTTGGCACTGGAAATTTCCATTCTTCCACTGAGGTAAAGGAACGAGAGGTTAATAAACATTCTTCAGGAAAAAAAAAAGATATTAAAAAAATCCACATTCAAAATAAAAAGCACAGCTCTTCCAGGACTGCCACCACCGCCTATCACGTCTGCAAAGTGATATGAGAGTGGGATGGGAAGAAAGATAAATTACAGAGCATGAGGCTCTGCTCCGTGAGTGTTCTGACAGCGAGACTGCAGACAGAGGAGGAGGGAGCCAAAAATGCTTGCCAGAGACAGCCCGTGAACTTGCTGTTATTTCATCTGTGAAAAAAAGGAAAGCAGCTAACCTGAGCAATGCATCTGTTGCTGCGAAAAGGTTAGAATGGAGTAGTGCACGGGGTGCTGCTTCTGCTCAAAACAAAATGGATTTTTCTTCCTTCACTCTTTCAGCTGTTGCTTGTCAGCACTCAGAAAGGCAAGCTCTCACTTCATAGGTCTTAGGAGACTTTCCTACAACAGTTCCATGCAATGGCACAACTGAATTCAAAATAAAAAAAAAAATAAAAGAGATAGATACTTGCCTAATTTTCTCCACATGTGCGCTATTTTCTTTAGCGTAGAACAATCCTAGACTAAATTCTGCAGAAATCTTTCAAAGGTTTAAGTAACTTGGATGTAATATAAGATGCTGGCATGAAGTCAAACCTGTCACACTGGCACAGGGAACGAATGAGAGAGCAGCTCTTAGTAGCAGTTCTTAGTTTAAAACACGCCAGTGCTACTTTGCTCCTTTCGCTGTTCCTTGCTGCTGGGAGAGACTGGCTCAAAAGCCTATGAAGTTTGTTCCGGATAAGTAGGACCTGATAATTATGGGATGACAGAAGCTGCCTTCTTACACATAGTTCACAGATGTGCAACAGTGAAATGCACGCAATGAGCATTGCCTCAAACACAGAAGTCAGAAGAAACAAAGGCTTTGGAGAAACTGCTTGTATTCGTCTGCCTGATGAGAGTCCTTTTCGAATGTCTGATTGCTTCTGTCCATTCTGAAGGCAGCAAGAGACAAAATTCCCATTGGAAAAGTGGTTTGGAAGTCTTCAGCTGGTGTCTGGTCTGAATAGCTTTCCAAAATGCCTTTGAAAGGACTGCTTTCCTACCCTCCTGCCGGTCTCCCTGGGAGCAGGGTCTGCGTCACTCTGCAGACTCATTTTAACTCCCTATAGTAGTAACAGAGATACTTCCAAAAGCAACAGATTCCTCTTATACTTGTTCTTAAAATACAGACAAATAAAACAAAAATTGGGAATAGAGACCTTCAGTTTGTTGTCAGATTATAATCACTGGCCCAGAAAGCCGATGGTGCCTGAGCACCATGGTGCCCTCCTTGTTATTTCTCCCTCGTTCAGGTGGGAACCCTGCAGCATGGGAATAGCCTGCATGAAGAACTGCCACCCAGAAATGAGAACTTTGTGGGGAGAAGTTCCAGCTGTGCAGAAATCAGACCAGTTTTGGTGTCTCTCTTAGCAACCAGGCTGATGCACTGCATATTAAGGAAGAAGTGGAGTCCAGAAAAAGGAAAATCATTTCTATTTCTTCATTAACAACAGTAAATGTGCCACTTATTAATGTGTCTTTACAGCCTTGTGACAGTCCAAACTTGCTCTCCATGTTGCTACTCACTGTGGACAGTTCTGGATTACACAAAGACATTGAAGTGGTCTTCAACACAGCCAAGTCCCAAGTCAGTAAAAGCAGCTTAAAGACAGCCCAACTATGATTTAAAATGAACAAGGCACAGTGGTATTTGTGAAATACAGCTGAGATGTGCCTCCACCAATGCTCTTTAGCTTTGATGCAAGCTGACGTTCCTAGTCAGCTCCCTTTTCTTCATGGTATTTTAGTTCCTTGTCAACTGTAAATTAACACCAAGATGACCAGAAGGGACATCACAGGAGTCAGTCATCATTATGAAGAAAAATGAGTAATTCCTGGAGGAAAAGCTTTTTGCAATACTGTGCAAGGTGGTTTATTGAGGAGTGGAGAGTGCCCAAATTCACTGTGAGAGCTCACAGCTCATTAAGGATCCATTTCCTTGTAATCTTGGCTATGAACTAAGCATTTCCTATTCCCATAATTTCCTAGATTAAGTTTGAGCACTAATCTATAATGGTCTCTTCTAGGTATGATCGTAGGTAAGTGCTGCTAGCAACTGTGCAAGTGAAAAAGGAGACATAAGGTGGAATGAAATTTCCACATTACAGACTAGAAATCTGTACTGTTTTGTTATCTCTCTGCTCTCTCTGCTCAATCTGAGGTAGATACTTGGTTGTTGATTTCATTAATTATCAGATTTGGTGCAGATTTCACAGCTAGAGTGTTCTGCACCAGCATAATGCTGGTTTTTTTTTTTTTTTTTTTTTTTTTTTTTTTTTTTTTTTATCCTCTTTCCTTGCACAGAAGAGACCAATTTGTCTTCGTGACCCTCCATGCTCCAAGCAAGAGACTGTGCTCAGGCTGCAATGGAAACTCTCCCCTTTGTGGCAATCTACTTTGCTGCATATAGTAATGGAAAAAAATCAGTGGAATAAAGTTGTAATATGAAGTACTGTTTAACTGTACAGGATGTGCCAGGGCCCTACTAAAATTGCCAGGTGCAACTCTTTTCATGTAAGAGTGATATAATCTTTTATGACCAGTAGTCATAACTGGGAGCAAGAAGAAACATAAGCCCTTAGTAGCTATGCTGCATAGTCACCTTTGAGGCACATAATGCAGATGCTGTATTCAGTGTTCCTGCATATTGGCTAATCTCCATTTCATGATAAGAGAAAGAATATAGCCAACAAAATTCTGTAGAGTTTATATTTTTCTGATGATGTCACAGAGATGCTTAGCAATGATGTTAAACTGCTTGGTAGGTAACGCAACTAGATATTATGCAACTTTTTAGTTGTCAAATGCCAGTTAAGAACCCAATTAAACATTTTTTATCTAGCATGACTATTTAAGATCTTACTCCAAAAACTCGAAGCTAGAAGGAACTCTCTTGGTTTCCAGTTTTAACACCAAATCAGGGTGCAGGCTGAATTAGCCAGAGGGGCCATAGCCTGGGAACTCTGAAGTTACACATTTCCTGCAGTCAGCAGGCGGCAAAAGGCCCCTGAGCTCCGAAAGGTTAAGTATGACTGCATAGCTCATCTCAGAGTCACTTTCCCAAAAGGTGCCAGTGTGAAAGCACTGGTGGGAACCAAAGTCACAAATCAAATCAGGAGTCATTCTTTCATGCTGCCACTTGCCTGGAAAAATTAAAAGTGATTTTTTCAGAGAAGAGACTCTAATAAGGAGTGACCATAAGGTTCTAACTTGCTGCAGTTTTGCTTTAATCCTTCAGTTCAGTAAGCCTCAACCCTACACTTTGGTGAGCACACCAACACTCAGCACAGCTACTGCAATCCATCGGTCTATGAATTTGCACAGAGCATCTGGAAAGGACATCTGAATCCTGCACTCACAGACTTGTGATAGCAAATGTCAGACTTCAAGAAGGAACTATTTTAAAGAGTTTCCATGAATCCAGGAAAGAGCAGGAAAGAGAAAAGATAATTTAATATTGGTGAGAAAATATATTTCAAGAGCTGTGGAATGATGCTACAAGGAACATTCTTCAGGCTCTTGGCATTAATGATGTTAGCCTGCTCTTTTCATGACTCCATAAGCTCACTTTTCTCTGCCTCAAGCAGAAGCAACTACTTCCCACAGTTACATTCATTGACAGTCTTTCTCCATACTGCGATCAATTTGCTTGCATTGAGAAGGCAATTCCTGTACCTCAATAACTCACACTGTCAACATCACATTTCCACCAGCTATATTGCTTCCACCAGCTATTTTGATTGCTCAAAACTAATCTCTCTGCCTTGGGGACCTTTTCCACAACATCCGAAAAGAAATCTCCCTATCCTCTTTTGAAACTTTATTTACAATTTCCTTTCTCTCTGAAGCCTATGAAACAATTTGTTAACAGTTCTGCAGTGGTATGCTGCAGATCTCTCTGCTTGCCACATTGATTAATACTATTCCATTTTCTTCTCCTTCCACCATGGCTCTTCTGGTTCATCTACTACTTTTTAGGTTATGTTTATATGCAAGAAATTATTTTTGAGTCAAGGATTTTTCTTTTTCTTTCCCTTCCACCCTGCCATAAAACAGGCACAGATCTTGGTACATTTCTACAGTCTTCAAAGTGATACCCCAAAGCAAATAATAATAACAAAAAGAATATCTTGTCTACATCCAAACCCAAAGATTTTAAGTTGCAGTTGAATAGTCATGCCACTTTTAGCCTGGTAGAGCTCATCTTCTTCAAGAGTTTAGCTGCTTATTTCAAGTTTATAAATTCACTTACTTCCTGTGAGTTCAGGAGCTTGTCCAGGTGATCCCAATCTTTGTAGAACATCTGTTCTTGGTGTATTTTCTCCAGCCACTCCTTCTTCTGTTTCCATTCATTGTAGACATTCTCCTTCTCTTCCAACAGCGCCTGTAGCTTCTGCTGAATCTGAACAGAATACCCAAAGGAAAACTGGTCAGCTTTCATATCCCAAGGGACCAGGGTAAGGAGGGAGGAGAAAGGATCAGGTAGAGCTGGGTATAAGTCACTTAAATAGCACTTTGGCCCAAACTATCAAAGAAAAGCAGAAGACGTTTTTGCACTTTTATGCAGGCAGACAGATAGAGGTGGCTCATCTCAAGAGTGGAGAATACTTGTGTTTATAGCCATCCAAGCCAAGTGCCAAGGAAAGAAATGTTCCTCAAAGTGCCCCTCCTAGAATCAAATCTTAATGGATCTTTACCTTTAGTCATAACAGAACAATTATATCACCATAAACTATGATACTTGAAAAAGTTATTGACATAGCACATTCTGCTAATCAGTGAATATGTATTGTAATGCTAGACTTCATGCAATTTTATCTTCCAAACTGCATATATTCAAAGACCTCCTTCTATAAATGACTTCTTTCTTTGTGATTTTCTACAAGCCAAGAATTTTAGTCAGGAAAATTCCTGACTTTGGGTGAGGACCTAGCTACTTTAGGTATATATTGCGGTATTTAATGAATATTCAGGAAATACCTTGGACAAACAGGAGAGTAATTTTTATGAACTCTCCTTTCTGAATGTTTTTAAGAGACATACTATGGAACTGTCAGGAGTGACGTAAACTAGCAGGAAAAAAAAAACTATTGGAAAAGAAGAAAATATTCTGAATATTTTAGAAGCCACTTGTCTCAAGTACACACATTACATTTTGGTTTCCATTTTCCGTGTCTGGAAAATTAAATACATCACCATAATTCACTAGTACAGAAAATGTTCCAGCTAGTCCTTACGCTCTCTGACATATTTGAATCTTTTCCTTCTTTGACTGAGAAGTCTTTGCCCCATGTGATCTGGTGTGGATATAGTACTGTTATGTGCAGGAAAAAATTTGTGTGAAAATCTAGTTTGGAAAGTGGGTAGAAAAAACTCCATTGCTCAGAAAATACCAAGCTAGATAATATCAACATATTAGGCAAATGTAGATCATGCACATGGATACATGAGAGTGTTCACATAGATGTGTATGCTTACAACATTATACAGTACAGAATGATAGTTACACTGGTACTGAGTAGCTGAGTATCTGTGACTTTGAACTCAAATGTATTTTAATTACCTCGCTTGTTCTTAATTTCTCATCTTGCAAGAGTGATTGTCCTAGCTGTACAACATGATTGTATTTCTCTTCTCGTGCTTCAATCTCTGCCAATAGCTGTTGATGTTGGGTAAGTCTCAGGCTGCTAGTAGATATGTCCCGAATGGTCTCTTTGGCTTTCATTTCCCTTATCATTTCTGCTGCCCAGGAGAAATAGTCCCACACCTAGAACCCAAGAAAATGTGGAAGGCTTAGATCTGAAGTTTGGGTAATTGGACAATAACTTACTTTTTGGTCTGACTTTCCACCTCCAAGTGAATAATAAACTGAATAAAATCACATAGAAAAAGCAAAATATTTCATTAGATCTGTAGCTCCTTTATGAGTTTATTAAGGGAGGACATGACTACAGAAATTTCTACAAACTGTGCTAAAAAGTTACATACATTTTTTGTAATGTCATAATCATAAACAAACCATGTCATATCATATCAGTGACAAACTAATATTATTTATAGCTCTTTAATCCATCATTTCTTAAGTGCTTCCTGAGGTTATTCTCCTCAGAGGATATAAAAATATATCACCTCACTTTTCCTAGACTAATAGATGCTCATTTAAATCTCAGGTTGTATACATATTCCAAAAGGAAAGGCAGAAGTGAAAATTGTTGGGTGAAGGAAAAATGAGCTCACTTGAGTAGAGACGGAAATGGGCAAACAAAGGTCAGGAGAAATTTATTCAGCATATCAGATATGCAGCTTCAGCTCTTTCTTTGTGGAACTATATGACTGAGGTTGTCATAGCATGCAATTCTGGAAGAAATGTTTACTGCTAAGACACTTTCAAACTCTGACAAATCAATAAACACCTATACATTTGCAGTAACTGAAAATGTCTGAAGCATTCAGCTGAGGCAACTATTAGCAAGGAAGTTCATAAACAAAACCATGAGGATTGCTTTTACTTTGCTGCAGAAGAAACTTGTGCAACTAAAAATAATTTGACATTTTTTTGTGTCATTTTCTGCACTTGATTTATAGCACCTTTACCATCCCACTTATTTTTGGCATCTCATTTGAATCGGTAATAAATAAGTGTTGCCTATATGTCACTTGATAAAAACAGGACACCAGGGGAATATGCAGGGGATTGTAAGGGATGATTAATTAAGTTCTGTTATATTTTCATTGTGCCTGGGTTATTTGAACTGAGGAAGTAAATGGTCTTTTAGATTTCTACTGTACTTTAAAAGACTGTCACAGGCAACCAGTGCTAAAGAAAATCACTCTTTTACTGCATAAAGTTAAAAATCTCTCTGGTGAATGGCTGCTGTTTTTTCCACTGAAGGAAAATACGTAATGGAAATAGCTTCTTGCCCGTTCCATTTTACCCATAGATTTTAATCTGTATTATTAAAATTTGGTACAGCTTAAAGCTGGCTAGTAAATCACCCTCCTGAAAACAAATCTTTCGAAAAAGAACCAAAAAATTCAACCTGTGCAGCCTGGGCTTCTGAGAGTTTAGGTTTTAAAGCAAGATTTTTTTTCTTCTTAAAGTCAGAACACACAGCTAGTGTGTGACACTTTCTAGTGACCGTGGTCCTTTTAAATGGGCTTAATGAGTGCATACTTGTTGGCATCATTTTGATTTGCAGAACTGTAATTCATGTGACATTGCACTTGGTGCAGTGCAAATATCTAAGATTCCCTGAGTTTTAAGTTAAGCAACAGGAAAAATCCATAAATCAATTTAATGCAATGGAACAAGCCAGGAGCCAACAACAGGTTATTGGCCTGCCAGCAACATTTAAAGACAGAAGAGGCATCTGACTACAAGAAACTCCTATGCAGGGTCAGATTGAGACCATGGAGATCCTAGCACAACTGTCAGAACAGGAGCCTCACAGCACTCAGCAACACTTCAAGCATAATTGGAAATTCTGATTTCCTTCTTAGAGTTTCTTGGAAGATGTGGAGCCCTCTGCTGCCTGCAGTTAGATATGAGCAGCTCCACTGTTAAATCAGATTTAATGATCAGATCTGTTTAATGTTTCATCAGATGAAATCATACGTGACGGGAAGCAAGGACTAGATGATTGTACAGAATTCTCATTTCATGGAAAGATTTGCAGATGTTTCACTTTTGATCTGCCTTTTCATCCGTGTAGAATTGCATAATGGAAAAACCCAAGGGGCTCTGCATGTGAACAAAACTGATGAAAAAAATACACTGGGCAGCTGTGCCTAACATTAAGTAACTTTGTGGACCTCTTGGTGCATCTGAAGATGGAAAGCAAGCAAAGCTGCCCCCTGTGCTCAGCAGTTTAGAGGATGTTCTGCAGCAAATCTGTTCTAACCTAATCTGGAACCACTGACCAGATTACCATGTCTTGTATCTCTGGGCAGAAAGATGGAGTCACAGGAATTTGTCAAACTATTCTTCATTTTTTGGGCAATTATTCTCAGGAAAGAAGGTCAAAATTGAGAGGATCAGAAAAACTTCTTGCCAGCAGACAAGAAATGGCACCAAAGAAAACAGAGATGCTTGGGGCATCATTTCTTTTGGATATATCACTGGGAGTGCAGTCACCTGGCTTTTAGCATTGTGGTTTATGATATTAAGAAAATGCTTTAGTGACAGTAAAAGCCTTCTCTACTAAGTACTGATGGATTTGTGTATTATATAAAGTGCTTATTGCTTGTGAATTTAGCAATGCAGACGAGAGGATGTGTTTTGCCAGAGTAAGCAATGGTTATAGGTTTTCTATTCAGAGAGGATGGATTACAGATTTCAGAAAAAAAATCTAAACCAGGGGTGTTTACGGTGTGTTACGGTGTGTACGGTTCCAGCAGCAAAAAAAAAACAACAACAAAAAAACCTCACCAACATGACGTCTTCTCTCTGACATCAGTAAATGATCATATGACATCAATCAAAAAAGTATCAACACAAAAAGAACTCGGAGTGACTATGTTTTAATGGACAAATCCACCCAAGTATAGACTCCTTAATGAGCCTGCCACACACTAAAGACTTCCACAAGCTAGTATATATTAGAAAATTACATACAAGAAAAAGCTGGCCCTGTGCTTACAGTCTTTGCTAGATGTCTGCTTTGGATCACTGTCAGAAAGAGGATCCTGAGCAGATGGACCTCTCATGTACATTTGTAGAACCACTCTGATTTTCCTGAATTAATATTCTAATTTATTCTATTTCCTTCTTAAGATGTTTGCAGAAGAACTTTTCATAAAATTAAGTCTTAAGAGCTAAAAAGAAAAATACATGAAAAAGGTGCGAAGAGTATTCTTTACTTTTAGCTAGGCTTAATACTTTACACTTAAAGTGGATTAACCTAATGAACACACGCCTCCTACGAACACAAAAGCATCATGTCACATCTATTATGGTTCTGCTCCCAGAACGCACATCCTTAAGACGGATATATGGGAGATTTTATCCAACTGAATATAGCCTGGCTATTCTCTGCTTTCCAGAAATAATGGAAATAGCGTAGGAACTACTGCAGCTTGGAGACATCTACAGTGCCTCCTAGCTATATGCCTATAATCACTGTAATCAAAAAACTGCACTTGGAAATGCCTGAGCCTGGGAACATCACAGTCAGCATTCATATTAGAAAGAATAGACTTTGCCCTTGGTATCTTATGTGGTATTTGATACAGGGGGGACTCTCAAAATTCCGTACAATTTGCAGTAATAATTCACTTATGATAGAGCAACTCAACAGTCTTCATGGAAATTATCATCATTCACTTATTTTTCTGTGGCCTACTGAGTACTTTGGAGAGCTAATTACTGTGTCTTGCAGTTATTATACATAACACATAAGTCACTGTGTTAAGATCCATATCCTCAACACCTTTCTAAATAGCTGAGAGCACTTAAATACTAGGTGAATGAGACAACTCCTCAACCTTTGCAGCTCAGAAGTCCACTCATGCCTGACACACACTGAGGGCAGCTCTCCCTGTGTGCCAGAGGACTGAAGTGCTTACGTGTGCTTGAAACTGGTAGAGCTTGTGCGCTTGCTCCAGGAGTTCCTTGCGCAGCTCCACTTTGGACTTCAGGGCCTTCCAGTTTGTCACTATGGCCTGCTGTTTTGCTTGCAGGTCTGCCACCTGCTTCTTGGAGCAGTGGGCCAGCACGTGATCCGCAGAGTGAATCAGCTCCTGAAGCTAGAATATGCAGGGAGGAAAGAATAAGGAAGAACGAGGGTCATAGAGATCCAGCTAACATTACAGAAATGATGTCAAGGGCTAAGTTATCTGAGCATGATACTACAAGTCAAGCAACACTCTCAGACCCAATTTTTTCCATGCTTGAAGAAAGCCTCCCTCAGTTCAGTTCTGTGGAATAACAGTGACACCAAGCGTTTGCCAGGGCTCATCACAACAGCAATTCTCAAATAGGAAAATTGCTTTCTTTTTTCCATTATACTATTTACCAAAACTGGATCCTTTCAAGAATATACTATAAAACAAATGCAAAGATGAGCTACCCATGTTTTCCTTGTTTAGAGCTTTTACTCTGTTTAGAGTAATTGTGACTATATTCTTTTCATGCATATCTCACACTCTTTTACGCTGAAAAGAAATGATCATCTCATGGGATCAATGTTTATCTGCCATAAGGGTAAGGTATCAGGCCTCTTGATAAGTGATAATTTAGTAATTTCAATATAAGACATGCTGTATTAACAGAGGGATGAAAACTGTATTGATTTTATTGGTCTAGTTAAAGCTAAGCAATTCTATTATATAAGAGGAAGCTTACTAAGCAACAGCTGTGCTCATGAGCTTGTATTTTTCACAAGTTTCTATAAGAAGCTCTACTCTTCTCTGTTTTTCACAGTCCAAGCCTTCTAAACTTGTTGAAATTCCCAGACTGCTCCTTCATCCTTCTTTAATCCCCTGTTGTCAATTATTCGTTTGTGTTCAGTAAATATTGAATCTCTCTGCACATAGAACAGATTGTGGATTTTTTCCTTGTAATTAGCTGGAATGCTTTGAACAAAGGAGTCTACACACCATGAAGCTTGGTATAATCATACACATCAAAGAGCGATCAGAAGCATTTGTATGAATCACTTCAGAAGTCAGCATTCATTATAACATGTCCCCTGTTTTCAAGGTTTTAAATGACCAACTTCTTCATTTCCATGACACTTTGAACACACTTAAAAAGCAGAAGACTTTGAGGAAGACCCTTGGCCTTTTCCAGGCCCTTACAGGTAAGTTCATAATAGCAATCATCTCTATGGTTCTATTGGAAATCTGGATTTTGGCTTCACGTTAAAGATGATGAGTGACTTTCATTACCTGCTGTTCATTCCCAACAAGCTCATGCTCCAGGGCCACATGGTTGCGGAGCTGGGTTTGCACACCTCTCATGTCCTTAGCAATGTCATCTGGAATACTTTTGGATTTTTCCTAAAAAAGAAGAAATCAGTGCAGTGCAGTTTGTTACTTAATACTCCCAAACAAAACACACTAGAAGTCTATTTTAATAATTTTTATAGCATTCTACAGACTGAATAAGTAAGGACTTCCTTTCCTGGTTACTCAAGTGGGAAGACAGAAAAATCTTCCTAGCACACCTGTCCTTATATTGGCAAGTATGTCAGTGATTAAGTTATTCAAACGAGTTGTAAGAGACCAAGGTTCAAGTTTTTTTCTTGGTTAGACAGTGCACAAAGAGTCTTGGGAGTCTCTTTTAAATAGCTATCATAGTGACCATTTGTGAACTCTTAAAGTAGTGCTAAAATCAGTAGTCTCGGGTCTTTCTTTGGCATGTATGTTGACAGTGAACTATTTTTACATATAAATGTACTAAATCTTCTCAGGAGAGATGAATTTCAAAAGGGACACATGCAAAGAAGGATTATTGTAAAGATGACAGAAACTAAGAGACCATCATATAAGTGAGACCAACATTTATTTGGCTCAGTAAAGGTTCTGAGGAGCACATAGCTGTTAGGTAGACATGCCCTGGCAGCATGGCAAGGAAAAGCAAAGGGCATTTTAGTTGGAGAATGACATTGTCACTAGAGTAATATGGTTCAAAATTTGCTTTAGATCAGTTTAGATGAAAATTAGAACGTACTGTATGTATTATACTGTGAGACAATTTAGTTCAAGGCCTGGTCACTAAGCTTCTCCCACAAAAACTACTGGACATAGCTTCACCAGTGGTCTCATAAACTGTCCAGTCAGGCATCTGATTATGCAGGATTTTCTGAGAACCTTAAGTAAGATGTAGTTTCTCATTGAGAATACTTAAATTCAGCAGTAGGCATGATGAAAATGATAAGAATACTCTACAAATGAAGATGAAATGACATTTCTTACTCTATTAGGATCCTGCCCTTTTTTTTTTTTTTTTTTACCTCAATATGGGCCAGAGCATCTGTCAGGTCTTGGTAACACTTGTGAATCGCTTCCGCATCTCTTAGTCGTTCACCTTGCAATCTGGTAATTTCCAATAGCTCCTCCCAGGAGTTTCTATAAAGGAACAACATGAGAGGAAACATGAAAAGCATGCAAAATAAGAGTGATGACCAGTCTGAAGAAAACTTCAGATTTTTTCCACTTTGCCATTAAATTCTGCCAATGCAGAACACGTCCCTCACCTTATTCGATCCATGTCCTCCTTTCTGTTGCAGATATTTTCACAGGTGCCCCGTGTAAGAATGTCCCTCTCCAACATCCCCTCAGGATTAATATGCTACAATCTAATGCAACTACATGGAACAAGGGTGGAAAGACTGACTTCCAGTTGAAGTACACACATGTGCTCTAAGAGGGGGACAACAATTCCTGTCTTACATGAGGCAGCCACATCGATCCAGACACCTTCATCCTTGCTTTGGGGCCAGTTCAGACCAGTGCCAGACAGTATGAGATCAAAAGAGGATCTTAACGGCTGCATACAGCAGACATGGGACTCAAACTTGAGAACCAGAAGCCAAAAAGGTGCAACTAAACTTGCAACCCTCTGTTATGTGTTCTTTCAAAGGGCAAAGGAAGTTCATTGACTCTTTGCTTGCAAAGTGTCTCTGATGCAATTTGCAAGAAGCCAAATCAGCAAGCAGATAGAGCCTGCATTACAGAAGTCTACTTTTAAAGCACAGAACAGTTATGTGCCAGTGAGCAAACCACACACTTCGCAATTAGGGAATTGGGAGTAACTGCCTTGCCCTTTTCTATTTTTTTCACTTCCTCTTCTCTGCAAGGGAACTGAAAAGAGAAAGTATTATAGAGCTAGCACAAGTCTCCTACCTTAGCTCTTTCTGCTTCTGCCGGATTTCCCTGGACTCAGAATGGCCACGATTCAGCAAATTCTCTGCTAGCTGCTGGCAAGACACAACTCTCTTCCCAGCTGCTTCCAGCTGATGTTGGAATATGTCATATTTGGCACAAAGTTGCTTATGAAGGAAAAACAACAAGAAATCATTTGGACTGCTGTTTTAACCAAATATACCTGCTTAGCTGTGAGAAAAGAGTCTAGAGAAAAGTAACTGTATTTGAAAATGAACCGTATTTAGAAATAAAGAAACTGCAGAAGAGAATGTTAATGGCTAAATTATACCCCCAAGGACTGTAATGATCTGCAGATTGACAGTAGAAGGTGGGATCATGTTATGGGGCACAGAAACAAGCATGTTTTTTCAATGAATTTAAATTATTAAATGTTACGTGCTTACATCATGAAAATAAACGTGTGTACTGTAAGTGAATTCTGTAGTCCAATTCTAGATTATGACAAAAATATTTCGAAATAAATGATAAAATGAGTATTTTGGTAGGTATAATTGTAGCTGCCCATACATTAGCATTAGGATTGCACACATAATTTAATCACATCAGCAGTGATAAAAATTCCTTAGTGGACAGCACTTATAAATATCTCATTATGAAAAACAGATTGTAGTTGAACTCTGAATCTCTGCAGATGTAGGTATTTTAGCACACAGCTATTCTGCGTAGCCCAGTCCTCTTTGCAGCCCTCATGGCAACAGGACATATGAGTTAAGCAACACTGCCTGCCTGGCATTACCTGTCAATTCTTTTCACCTACTCATCCCCCTTCTCTCAAGATTCATTTTCTTTTTTCTTATGCTGCTTTCTCTGCTTTCAAGGACAATGCTATCGCTTCAACAGTTCCACTGCACACAGCCCAATTGATTTTCCACCTGTTGTTCAAAACCTCACCAAGACATGCTTATAGTCATTGCCATAGTCTTCAGAGCTGGCCGCTTGTTTCTGTTGAGTGATCCAGTCCTGCAGATCTTCATATTCCCGCAGGAATTCATGCAAGACAAGAGTCTCATCCAGTTTCTTCCCTCTGTTGTTAAAAGGAGACGAGACAGGGCAAATGAGATGGAGGGAACTAAAGAGGCAGGCAATGAATAATTTTCTTCCTACTGAGCCCTCAAACCTCTCCTTAACAAGATTCATTCTCTTTAATGAAAATTATCACTTTTGTTCTCCAGATTTCAAAGGATCCCTGTAAGTCAATTGCAGTTGGCCAGGTCAGGCTGAGCTTTCTGAGTTTCCCAGCAAGGTTCAGAGGCCATCTGAACTCTGTTTTGTTAAGAAAATAATTTTCATTTTTTTCTCCCCAGTCATTTTCATTTTTAAAGATAATAGTAAAACTAATGAAAATGAGAAGAAAAACTTTGTAATTGAGGATGGTACACCAGCAAGGCAAGTGTGATGAAAGCCATTTTGTGCAGTTCTGCTCACATTGCCTGTCCAGCAAAATTGCTGCAACCTGTTACACATCCCTAATTGTCTACAGTATCTTGTTATACAGCCAGTCCTGTTAATAGACTTTGCACAGTAAACAAAATACCAATTACCCATCTGTTAACACTGCCTAGTCACTCTGCAAATGTTCCATAGAATATGAGTCAGGCTTCCATCTGTTATCTGAGTCTCAAATGTTTATCACAAGAAATGAGCCTGCTCATAGCACCCAGACCACCAAGGAGAATGCAGATAGGAGGTACAAACCAGAGCACCAGTCATGCCTCACACTATCATTAAGCATGAAGCAACACAAAATATTTCTGTGGTGTTCAGCACACTCAAACGTTTTGATGTTTATAGGCTGAATATTTCTTTCATCCTCTGAAAACTTCATTCATGTTTTTTCATGTTTCTTAATTGTAAACCAAAATAAAAGCAAAGGTGAAAAAACAGCATTTTCAGACACATTTATTGGTTATTCTACTTGCTAAGCCTCACTGTCTTTCTAAAGGAAATTTTTTGTAATGCAAAAAGCTAATTGTTCAAGTAAATATTTGTTCCTTTCTGTCAACAAACTTCCTTTTGATGTTTAAAAAAGTTGTGTATTCTGTCTTGTTGTAAATATCTTACTTTAATAATAACACAACGGAAGTGAAATAGAATGTAAATGACTAATTTAAGGATAAAAGCCCTCCTATATTAACACTGCCAGCAGGCATAAAGATAAGTGTAACTGTCATTATCACTCCCCTGCTATGCAATGAATCAAAACATTTATAAGCAATGCTAAGGAAACCTTTCTAAAACAATTTATTTCCTTTTGATGACAGATTCCAGATACCAGGACAGCTAGTCAGAATCCAGCATCTCAAGTGACTTTACAGGAGGAGAATGAAAGCAAAAATAGAAATTTCAAATCCTTAATGTGAACTGGGACAACCTGAATAAAATGTACACTTCTTGCTTATCAGTAGTAACAAGCTCAGCACTGTGTAGTGTTCAAACACAAAAGTAAACCATTTCCTATTTACAATTTAAAAGAGAAGATTAATATGATCCAAATCCCAGTGAGGTGGCTGTAGACATTCTTTGTTGACTTAAATGTGTTTTAAATCAAACCTAAGATCTAAGGGACAACGTATGTGAGAGTCAGTCACAATAGACATTATTCTAGTTTTTACCTTTCTGCTGCTAGTTCCTGCAACTCCTGGAGTTTTGAATGAGCTTGGTCCTTTGGGCCATCAACATCAACATACTGAGCAGAGCCCACAAGAGGAAGACTTTGGGCACTTTCACTCAGTTCCTTCATCAAAGTCTGGTAAACAGCGATCTCGTGTTCCAGGGCCTGGCAGAGAGAAGACAGAGAAGACTAAGAGCCACTTGTCCAAGACCTGCATTATTTGAACTTCTGCACCAACTTCTGGTGTGATCATTGAACTATTAAAAGAAGAGAAAAACTTTTTGGAATTACGTTAGTTCAGACTTCGTCCTTTTTATATAATTTTCTATGAGTTTCTTAGGGGGGCAGATGGTGAAATTGCACCTGGAATTCAAATAAACTAGAAAATCCTGGTTCATTGTCAGACAGAGAATGCTATTCCCAGACTAATACTCTAGCTTCAATTCTAGGGCAAAATTACAGCTTCTGTGCATCTCTTTGTGACTGAAAAGCAGATAGCAGGTCAGTTTTATCTTCAGAAAAATATGATGAGAAAATTGACCGTTCTCCTTTTTCCCAAACCATATTTTATCTAACTGTATTAGTAAGCTGAATTTATCTTTCTTACGTGTTCATACAAACATAGGCATATGACAGTGAAAAATATTTTGCAGATGACTGGACACTTAAGCACCAATGAAACCAAAAACTTCACAAAGGCAGACAGATCTGTAGATCCTGCCAGTATACAGAATTATGGAAACATACAGAATTTAAGCAGAGATCCCTTGAACTCCTTTAACACCTTAAACACCAGTTTTCAGATAGATGAACTAGAAAGAAAGAACGGAGTGATTATTGAGTGCAGGGTTTAGAACTACGTGTAAATAGCATCAAACAATCTCCCAGCTTCTACTGGAGAGAAGAAAACCTTGTCATAGATGGACTGAGCTTTAAGCTTTCCTGAAGGGAAAAAAACAGCCCTATTATGAACAGAAGATCTCTGCATTTTCACCCTTTCTTTGCCATTTCAAAATTCCACCTCACAAATATGCGTTTTCACTCAAGAACATAACATGAATATACGATCCTTGTGGACCTTTGAGGCACCGGCATACCAGAGCATGATATACAGACTGAAAATATTCAAGCTTTCTTGAATGCTGATATTTAAAAACTGATTCACCCAAATCTGAAAGTGGCAATTTTTTCTCAAGAATATTCCATACTGAATTCTTCAAGAATTATTAAAAATATTTTGAAATACTTTACATTTTGAAATACCTTATGTTTTTGGAGGAGTTTCAGTGTTCCATCTTCATCCTTACCATAATCCTTGCTTGTCACAAGTGGGCGTTTTTCTGCTATCCAAGCCTCCAGGTCTGAGGTGTTCATTAAAAACTATGAATTAAAGGTAAGGCAAATTAGTTTCTCCCTCAATATCCATAGTATTAATACAATTTTCTTGATTTAAATATTTCTAGCTGGAGGGCATACTATGAAATTTACTGTGAGGCCATATAGAAAAAAAATGAAGAACACTTAATCCCAAGCACCACCATTCCATAGACCCAGACTAAATCCTGAGTCATGGGACAAGTTAGCTGTCACTGCTGCTAAGTAGTGATTTCAGGGAGCAATTACTTAGCATTTGCCTCACTGACAAATGCTCTTCTAAATGGCAAATGAAGCTACAGAACCTGTATAAACTGGAATGAGCTATGAAAATTTTATGCATACTGTTGCTCTGTAAGATTTTAGGCAGGTGAAGAAGGCCACAGATGGAAGACTTCAGTGCAAGATCATTAAGGAGTTCTCTGGGCATCAAAGCTCAAGAAATAAATTTCTAGTGGTCACATTTCTCCTTCAGTATCCTTATTTGACTCTCCCTGGTACTCACTAAGGGAAGGTGCTAACTATACAATAAAGTATGATATTTATCTTTGCCCTTCCTGAGAAGTTCAAGTCACCTATGAAAATCAGGCTTCATAAAGCCTGCAGTGTGCATTGCTGATTTTAAAGACAGAAGAAATAAGAGCCAGAGATAACCAAATTCTCCAGGAAACATACTCTAGATATGCATGTTAGCTCTGAGCAGCTGCGTGTGTCAGCATGGTAACTGCACTGATAACAACCCACTGATGACAGAAAATTTGCATTAGGTAGGTGAATATTTGCATGTCATTCTTTTTTTTGTTTTGTTTTAAACAGGCTAAACTTATGGTCCGGTATCCTGTTGAAATAGTAGGGCCAAAACTCCTACCTTGTTCTGAAATGGCTTTTTCTGTTAGTTTAACTGATAGATTTATCTGCTTCTGAATACCATTTTAAGTTACTGTGGTCTAGAATAAGCAGGGATTGGATGGTACAAGAGTTCATTTCTGATTTACTTCTCACAATGCTCCAGTATTGGGCCATTTCACGACCCGCTGTAGTACTTAGATTAAAGCTTGAGTCTGCAAAGGGCTCCTGAGAAATGCTGCCCTACATCCAGGCATGAAGGGATGGCTACAGCCTCCAAGTCACATCTCTAGAGCACCAGCTCCAGACTGGGGACTGCATTCAGCTGTGCAGACCAACCATCTGTTCCTATGCGTTTGAAGTGAATTCCAGCTCCAGCAGAGGAAGACAATAAAGCTGTTTTGTTATATACTTTAATGCTTTGCTCCTCCTGTTTGTCTGTAGAAGCTACTATATAAGTACTTGGCTGTAGTTTGTACCTCTTGGAAGCCAATCGAGTGCTGCAGCTGCCTCATCCTTTCCTCGCAGGCCTTCTCCAGGTCCTGCCAGGCAGTCATAAGCTCCTGGCATTTCTCATTTATTTTCTGAGTAGAGGGGTGCTGGCTCACAACCATTGCTTTTCCTTTATCCAGGACCCGTTGGACTTGCTGTTTGTGGGCATTCACTTCTGCCTGCAATTCCTAGGAAAAAAGAAGGAGGAAGAGGAGAATGAAAGGAAGGGCATGAGAGGGCAAAGATATTTCTATGTGCTCTTCTAGGCATAAGCAAAACTGGTCATGCTGGGCGGACTGCCGAAGTTGCAGTGGATACAGTGACTGCCAGTTTCTGCAAGGCTGTCACCTGGGCTGCCTGTCCTAGCTCCAATTATATAATGCTCTGCTCTTGGTACTTCCACTAAGGAAGCAGATAAGAGTCAGCATGGTGACAGCTCCCGTCATCTTCCCTCCACCCTCAGCTCTCCTCACCAAAGTCCCCACCTGCCAAGGAGGGTCAGGAGATGGAGCAGGGGGAACAAGGAATCAGAGAGCTGAGGCATTCAGAAAAAGAGTGTTGGGCTGCTAGTGGAAAATAAAATATCTCAAAAGAAGAATGGGATGGAGGATGATGAGAAGAGAGACACAGGTCTGTGCCACCATGAATGTTGTCAGACTTCCAACTCTCGGTCCATAAAGTCTTCAGTGATCCCACACGCTTTCCCGTGGAACTTTCAATCCAACTGCTATAAAACTTAGCACTGCCAGTGTGGCAGGGCAGCTATGAGCTGCTCCTCTGCCTTTGAGCATCTGCTACAAAGAACTGGACTTTCTAGAAACCAGTGTTAACCTGCCTGCATGCATATATTGACTACTGCTTGTTCAAAACATTTTAGAAACTACTGTGTAACTAAAAAAAATAGTAAATGGCAGTTCTGTGCTGTCCTAGGGCACCTAACATGTAAATAGCTCAGGATGACATTGTCTGCATCATGAGAGCAGTAAGTACAGAACTAAAATAAGATTTGTAAGAAATATCTTTTAAGCAGACCACTGCACAAAAAATAATGATGCATGTATATTATTTTTATAAATAAAATATAAGCATATATATGTTTAATATGAAGGTTCCTAAATGTACTTTTACTGTAATCATAAACATGATAAATTTTGCAGTTCCTATAGGAACTCTGAATATCACTACCAAGCTGCAGACTTGTCTCAGTCTGCTAGAAACATTGCAATGGAGCTAGTGCTCAAACTATACCTTGATGGTAGTCTAGTAATGGGTTAGTTAATGATAGTCTAGTAATGGGTCCTGGAAGCAAAGGAGAACTCTGCAGCTGGTGGCTTGCAAGCTGAGATGAAATGCAGTGTGCCATCACGCAGTAACGCAGCTGATGAACAGAGTTACCTTGTGTTTTTGCAGCAGGCTTTGAGCCACATCCAAGGACTTCCCACAGTTGGTGGAATGGGCGATAGGCAGTCGCTCATTAATCCAGGTCAGCTCCATGTCGTGATAGTGATAGAACTCATAGAGATCCACTGCAGCTTCCAGTAACTTACGCCTCTCCTCAAGAGGTGCTTGCAAAGACTCAAATCTAAGGGTCACCCATTAAAATATATGTTATAAGAAAGCTTTATTTTGACACTCTATTTCCAAAATAATTAGACTGTGATCCCAGTGGGCCCATTCTGGAACTAAATGTCAATAGCTAGTGATGCCTGCACTTACAAAAATTCCTTCTCAATAAGGCTGCTGCTGGCAAGTATGAAAAGGATTTGACAGAAGAGATATGTTACGTTTAAAATGAAAGCAGGCAGAGGGAATAGGAACAGGACCACATACTGCTGCAATGCTAATGACAGGTCTTTGCACTAAAAACAGCCTTGCATGGAGTATGCCTGCTGCAACAGATATTGCTACTAGGCAGTTAACAGCACCCTCATATCACATTTAGTAAGACTATACCTAAATAAATATATAATTAACACACTATCAATGCCTTAGTTTACAGTCAGTTGAGCACCATGTTTGGGAAGAGAATTACAGACCACTTTTTGGCATAGACATATAATAATACTAAAAGAGCAAAAAGATCTACGTTTTTGAAATCCTAAGCTTGTCCTGAGATGTTTTAATCAAGCTACTCACTACTGTACACTAGATAACTGCATCACTTCACAAGCATCTGGATGGCTTATGGGTAAGCAAAGGATAGAGCAGAAGGAGCTTTACAGGCAAGAAGCAAGGTCCAATAATAAAGGTTGAGCTGAGTAAACAGGTTGCTGTATAAGTGCAGACAAAAACATAACTGGTAGAAGGGAGGAGAAATGATTCTTCAATATGAAGAAAACCTAAACTTGTCACAGTGATGGAAAAAAGAGAGTGGCATCTCACCTTTTCAGATATTTCTGTGTTTCATCCAGAATTCTCTGTGAGTCAAAGTGATTGGTGGCCATTTTCCTTGCGTGAGACACAATAGAGTTCATTTTCTCTGCGAGCTCTCGTGTCTCATTTTCCAGCTGCCTGTGCTGCTTGAGAAGATCACGGCTGGTGCGCAAATCATGTCCTGTTCCTGACTCATGAAGAACCGTCTCAATTTTCTCTATCTTCTTTTTAGCATCCTACCAAAAGAAGGTCATAGCATATTCATATTGACCTTGCAACACCATTTTCTTTCACATGATCCCTCTCATGACAGCCTCCTGAGTGATCCTCTTTTTGAACATTATTCCAAATCTATCCTTGTGGACTATTTTAAGAAGAATAACATGAAACAATATTCAGAGACTCAAAATTGTACTTAAAAAATTCATAGCGTAATATTCCTCTCATTTGACTTTTCTGGATGACAATAGACAATTCAGGCTGCAGTTCCCAAATGGACTCCAAGTAAATAGGTACCTTTGCACAACCATGCAGAGAGCTATGCTTGTTTTCCTGAATTTCCTGAATTCTCAGGATGGCCCCACAGGAGCAGTGCTGAACCTGAGCTCAACAGCTTCTTCTTCTTTTTTTTTTTTTTTTTTTTTTGTAAGAACCGCTTTCCATAAATGGAGAAACCAGATTCCTTGACATAGGGAAGGCACCGATCCTCTATGCATCCCACCACCTTCTAACCTGGAGCAGTTCCATGAGCTGTTCTTGCTGCCCAGCTTGTCTCAGCTTGTCACCCCGCTCTATCATCTTGTGATACAATTTCTCCCACTTCTTCTGCAGCTCTGACATCTTATTCTGGATAGAAGCTGCAGCATAATGGTCATCTTGAATCAGTTGATTTCCTTTCTGGAGGGACACAGCACATCATTGTTTTGAGCAGATCAATGGCTACAGAGTTTGGGACGTGACGGAAGACTTCGCTCCCAAACAAACTGCGCTCACCTTTATCAGTGTTGCAAAGTGTTTCTCATTAGCCATCATTTCCTTCTCAGCAGCCTCATGCCACTTCAGTTTGCGCAAAACATTTGTTGGATCACGATAGGATTCATCTGATGCAATCTTGTACTTCTCTTCCATCCATATCAAAAGGTCAGCAGCATCATGATTAAATTCCTTACAGAAACAAATAGGATTAGAGAGGTTTAACTTCTGCTTTCGTGCTGAGTTGAAGTGAATCCTTGCCATGAGGATCAAGGGTTACTTTTTTCTAAAGGTTTCATTTTCATATGAAAGTTGCTCTACATAATCAACACAGTAAATCTTTATTTATGATCTTTGACCATTGTCAAGTTCTTGAGCCTCCAGAATAATATCTTAACCTCTTTTTATTATATCTACTGAACTTCTGCCTTTAATTGTCAATGGATACCTGCAGTTTTGAAAGAATATTATATGTGGCCCAACCTTTCAGTAAAACTTTGTATTTCAGTACTGTTTTGGCATTCTGTGCCAAAACAGACAAACTACATGCAAGTACAGTTAGTGTAAGTAGCATTAATTTGTGCCAGACAATTCAGATCAAATCAACATTAAGCAATGAGCAAAATGAACTTATCCAGTAGATGAAATATTCAGTTGATATTAATATTCCCTGAATATTAATGTTTGCTTTGGTGTTTCGCTATGTTTATAGCTTTGTAAGATTTATTGTGAGTGTATCACCTCATTCTTAGAAAGTGAAATTTTCTGTCTCATACTCAACGATAGAGAGAGGTCTTCTGGGATCATATCAGCTTCAGATGCACCTCATGTTAAGACACAGTAAAATTACTTCATGTATGTCTGACCAGATCTGCAGAATCAGTCCTTTTACCTGTAGCTGCAGGGAATCCAACAACCTCTGTTTTCTCTGTGCATTGCTTTGTACCAGCCGTCCCCATCTTTGCTGGAGAGTAGCCATTCGCTCTTCAATACTGCCAGGGAAAACAGAAAAAGCCCAATGCAGTAGTGTCTGAGCTTGTACTGTAGCCAGGACTGTAACATAATAAGAAACTAGCCCTTTTGTATCTGTCAACAGCCTGAGGGAATGTATGACTCTGTTCCATGACCAGCAATTCCTCCTTGTCAACTGCTCTATTTTTTCTTTTGTACTAGTGACTTGCAATCATCCTATGTTTGACTGAACACCATTTTTACTACTGTCCAAACTAACATGAAAGACCTTCAGTGTGAGTGAAAATCAGGTCCATAAGATGATGATGAGTCATTTCCTTTTGAAATGCTCTGTGAATTTTTAACAGCAAGTGCTGTATTAATTCTAAGTGATATCGATAAATGAAAGGAAAAAAAGTCAATGATGTGGGTATGTAATGAGTTTACATTAAAGATGTTTTGGAATTGTATGTAACTTACAATAAAAGAAAATTATTCTAGTGTTTTCACAAATGCCACTTTTAAACTCCCTTACTTGTTCTGAAATCTACATCTTTCTCAGAATTCCCTTTTTCTCTCCTTACCCAGAAAACTACAGCTTGAAGATGATCTGAATCCAAGCTCAGAGACAGTTTTCCATTTCACACTTACTCACATTTCATATTTACCAAAGTTGAACATCTACTGTGGAGTCCCTGCTTTGCCTAGTTCCCCCAGTGAACTCAAAGCAGGAAAGAATCTGAACTCACCTGTGAGATGCAAAGTGTCTATTCTCTATTAGTTTCACCCCATTCTCATTCAGAGTTTCAACTCGTTTTTTCAGCACCATCAGTAGTCGTTCAAATTCCTCATGACGCTTTAGCAGGTTTCGAACGGCATCAACATGGTCCTGCATTTGAGAAAAAATAAGTTGATCAAGTTTCTCCTGTTGTACTTAGAAGGAAAAAAAGATTGGACCTTATCTTCCCCCCCTTTTTTTGTTAAGGCATGATATTCCTTTTGCACTTGCTTAAGGAAATTCAGGGTTGTCTTAAGTTTATTCTAGTGTTAGGGTTCCATTTTCCACTTTCAAGTTAAGGTATGCCAGCACTCTGGCACAGTTATGGAAGTACAATATGAAAGGCCATAATTAAGTAAATATTTATTCCGTTTAGCTGCCCTCCCCAAATCTCTCAATTCTGCTGAAAACATAATAAGAGAAGAGGAGGCACCACAACATCCTCCTTCACTCTTCTTGTGAATATTGTCTGCTTATGGTTTTTTTCCTGTCATTTGCTTTAATGCTCTTACAATTATTCAGTGAAAAGAAAAAGCCATATTTTTAAAAAGTCAGGGTTCTATTACACTGGAAAACTATTTCACTTGAACACACTACTTATGTTCAAGCTGGAACCTTTTTTCACAGTTCGCCACCAAACTGAAGATCAAGTTGCATTTCTGAAATGCACAAACAAATGGGTTACAACATTGGCTGGTTTTTTTAACTGTTTTTGAGAGACAATGAACCTAGTTCTCACTGAGATAGAAACATCTCAGAAGCTGATCTGATTAAGAAAATTTTTGCAGCTCCCTGGAAAGGAAACAAAGGAGAAGGGAAAATCAGCTGCACATACCCCAAGGTCATCTCCCCGGAGGAAGGCCTCATGGCTTGAGAGAGCTGCATTGATACGATCTGCCTCCCTGTTGAACTTCTGCATTTCCAGACCATCCTGCAGCTTTTTCTGTCGCTGCTCCCACATCTTCTCCAACTCCTCGTTTTCCTCGGCAAGCCTCTCCATGGACTGGTGGACCTCCTTGGTCCTACTGTTACTGGTTTGTTCATGGATTACTTTGCGCCCCAGCTCTTCCAGCTGCACAAATCTTTCCATAGTGAAAAAGAAAAGTTAGATCTCATTGTATGGCAGAATTTGAATTTACTTTCATCATAGTTTCTTGCTCTCTTGGCAATGCCTAATACTGAGGGACTGCCTAAGATTCATTTTCTTGTTTAGCTTCCCTCTCTGCTCCTCTTTCTTGTTCTTTTCCAGACAGTGTTGTGCACTACAAGCTGCAAGCGGGAATATGCTGAGATAGCAGATGAAGAGATTGCTGTTTGGCTTGGAAGTGCACATAAAGAATCTTTCCCGTTTCCAAAAAAATAAATCTTTCCCATTTCCAAACAGAAGTCCTCTCCTCCTTTTCACAGTAAATATGCACTGTGCAGAACATAACTGGATTTTGTATTGAGCAGTCATCTTTTCCTGCTAAATTTTGTAAACACTTAGATAAACTTTCAGCATCACTTTCATACATTATATACAATAGACATATTTCACTTTCACAGTACTGCCATAGTAACACTCCACTCTGCCAACCTTGAGAGAATCTCTTTACCTTTCCTTTTGAGACCTAATTTCTTTCAGCAGGTCCTGATGCTCCTTCAGCAATTGCTCTGCAGAAGCTACATCCACACCCATTTCTTCACTTCTCAGCTGCTCCCTGATGCCTTCTGCCCACAGAAAGAGCCTTCGGCTGTCTTGCAGGAAGGCCTGCCGGTTTTGTGCCTGCTGCAGATTGTCCCATTTCTTTCTGGTCTCCAACTTGAGCTTTATGAGAAGCCTCTCCATGTTTTCCACCTGCTCTGTGATAGCCCTGCTCTCTGCAGGGTTCGTGTCCTTAATCCTGCAGCAGAAAATCAAATACATACAATTGCAGCAACAGCCTTAGGCATTTAGAGCTTGAACCGATGCTCTTTAAAAAACATAGATCTAGATATTTGTATAAAGCACCAAGTGCTCCACACTAGCAAGAAACATTGTCATACCTGCAGAAAATGCATCCTCTCAAAAGACTCTGGTAGCACTGTAGTTCAGTGGTGCATTCCCATTGTAAATACACAGAAGACTTTAAGAAATAGAGCTCTTTAAATTCAAATTTCAAGTTCAAACTACACTATCCAACTATCTGATATTTTTCTTCCTTTTATCCTTGCTTCCTCTGATTACCCCATTTCAGGACCTAAGTGGAATCTGGTTCCAAGTGTTGAAATAAATCCCATTAGCAGAGGTAAACTGTTAGCTAGAAGCACAAACAATTCCATGGCATTCACAGAATTCCCTGAGTGAAGTCTGGAAGCATTCACCTAGTCAGTCTCCCAGGGATACTCAGGAGAGACCAGTCTCCAACCAGCAAGGGAGCTCTTCGCAATGCTAGAGAGAGATAGAGACTTCAAAGTTTCTCATTCTCATTATAGCTATCCTTTACAACATGATTTTAGATAATTACCGAAGAATTCAGAAAAGAAATGCAGGCTCCTTACGTTTTAGCAACACTCCTCAAGTACTCAATTTTCCTCTCCATCACCAGGACCTCTCTCTCAATAGCAGACAGTTTGCGCTGGTCTGACTCCAGCCCAGCAGCCGAGTTTCCTGGTTCCAGACCCATGAGTTGAACCATCTTGTCTTGCAGGACTACCCCAATGCTCTGACAGTCTTGGAGAAAAGTCTTCACATCGGCCACTCCAATCAGCTCTGAGCCCTTCTCCTCCTTCAGAGATTCCATATATTCCCACCTTGGAGAGACACAACTCGGTTACTTGCATCTAGCCTCAGCCCCAAAACTCACCTTCACCTCAAGTAGGCAGGTTTTGTTCAAAGTCATTGTTGTAACAAGTTTTAAGCACAGTAACACTTGATTCTGTGCCAAAATCAGAAAGCAAGAAAGGTAAGAGAAATAAACATGCTCTATCATTTTTCTGTTCAGTAAGTCTTGCATGGAAGATTTCATCATGACTTAAGAGGGCTGAGTATTCACCCTCAACCTCAGAGTGAATTTCATCTCAAACTTTCCCATAGAAAAGCCTTGCTTTATCAAACTTTAGGCAAATTCTGGGTATTAAAATCTATCAGATTGGTATTTTCTCAAGGTAGTTTAAATCTAGCATGAAAAGTCAGTTCACCATCTGTCTCCATAAGAAAATCTCCATTTACCTGCTATTGATCTCTTCCAGCCAAATTTGGATCTCAGAGTATCTGCTGGGATTTCTTGCTGCATATTTACCAGCTAATTTTTCAATATCTCCCATCTGGCCCTTCCCTGCAGCCAGTTCCATTAAAAAGCTCTAAAATAGAAAAAAACACAAAAATGTTTATCTAGAGATTTTTCCAATTCTACTAACAAATGCTCCTTTTTTTTCTCTTGTATTTGCTCATCTTCTACCTTGCATGTCATACACTTTGACTTCTCCACTTTCATTTACCTATTTGCTGACACAGTGCAGACCTGCATGTATCATTCTCTTTTAACCTTGTCCACCAATCCCAGGCTTGCACAGTACCTCTATGCAAATATATCTAATTTCACTGTGATGCAAGTGCACTGTATGGTTTTTTTCTTCTTGTGACTTAAAACCTTCCAATGAAACCACCAAAACAATATTGAAACAAAACAAAACCACAAACAAACAAAATAAACAAACAAAATCCTAACAAGCTAAAGGGTCATGATTTCATCTGCTTCAATAAACTTGACTTATGTTTATACTAAGGAAACATCTGATCTATACACAACCCTAAAATTTAAATAGTAATTAAGTGAATTCTTTAGATTTTTTTTCGTATTAGCTTCATCCATTCTGCTAAGGTCAGTATGACTTGCGAAGTGTCACCTGTGAGCAGGTGAAGAGGGTACCTGGTATTTCTGCTGCATGACCTCCACATTATCTGCTTGAGGTTGAAGAGTCCGGAAGATGTTCTCTTTTTCTTTCATCCAGGACTGGAATTCTTCACATGAGCTACAGAAGCGGTAATAGCCAATCATGTCCTCCAGAGCCTTCTTTCTCTCCTGCAAAACAGATGGAAGCTTAAGTACTGTTGTGATAACTACCTTGCTTTTGGAAGAAGGATTCTTGAATATAAATAAACTATTACATACTGGTAGTAGCTTGGCTGTTTTGCCTGATATTGAGAATTCTACTCTTCAAGAATTCTACACCAGAGAATTCTACTCTTCAAGAAACTTAAAGCCTGGCACGTAATTGAAGAGACTGTCACTGCACCAGAGCCTATCTCAGCTCATTGAATTCCACCCTGAACAAAAGCTACTTCTTTCAGGATGGAGGCACTTCACTGGAACTAAAACCAAGAAGCTGCTGCAGCACCTAACCTTGCTTCACATTGCTCTGGAATTGGCTCTTGCTGAATCTCAAAAGATTGGCAGGGATACCTACCTCAGCCAGGCTCTGCAGATTTTTGTAGAGTGAGTCTATTTCCTCTTGGGTCTTCCAGATGTTCTCAGGCACAAAATGAACATCTTGACTACCAGAAAGCAGAGTATCTGATGTAGCCCAGGTTCGACTGAATGGCAGCCTAATTGTCCTCTGGGTTAAGTCACTTGGAGCTTCTGCCTTTACCATCTGTAAGGCAAAATTTAGCATAACTGGTGTCTGAATATTTCTCATTTGCACAAAAATGTATTTAAAAAGAAAAATTCTAGTCCTGACTATAACATTCTGATCTTTTAAATAAGACAGTTACTAATTCCTAATTTTAAAAATCACCAACAAATTGTAGAGACTGCCAGGCTCACAGTTCGACTTGCGATATTTTCAGTACCTGAGTACTCAAGAATTTCATGCCCACTGAGTGGCCTAGGGAATATATGGGTTTATTTGCACATTAAAACCAGCAGTCACTTGCTTTTCATGCATAACGACTGATAAAAACACTTTTTGTCTCAATAATAATTAATACTGGAATCCTGAAGTAAAGGAAGGTCCCAAAATGATGCTCATAGATCTCCATATGGAGAGGTTACTCATCTCCCCTGACTTTTGTTGTTTGATGAGGTAGTTTCTGGTCAGAAGCTCTCTTTGTAGTCAGGAATAAAGGGAGGTCAGCTTTATTTCATGTGTCCTAAAAAGTCTTCTTGGGATGGGATGAATTTTTCCTGTTCGTTGCATTAGGGCTCTAAAAGAATTTTAAGGCAATGTAGATTAGACAGGTGCTTTCTCTAACTGATGGAAATGAATGCTGTTGTAAAAGTAAAGAGAGGGATTTGTGAGGACCAGTAGAAAGAAGTAAACATAAAATAAACATAAACATAAAAAATATAAAACATAAAATATTCCATTCTGAAATATATTGATTTAAACTTAAGGCTTTTTTAATCTGTTCTACAACTGACAATTTTGTTCAGAAGGACACATTATTGAAATGGTTTAGACAACTTCAGAACACCATTTTCCATTTGAAAAACTATTGTGTGGGAATTTTCTCTGTCAGTAACAAAGCAAACGAACAAAATATGACACAGTCCCTCTACTACTTACTGCAGCGGGTGCTTGCTCTGCCGCAGTGTCCGCTTGCTCCTTCAGGCGCCTCATCTCCGAGGAGTAGGCTGCAACCTCCTTCTCCAGGCGCAGGTGCCGGTGCAACAGCGCTTCGGTGCTGGATTCATCTTTCCCGTAGTCCTTGCTGGCCAGAAGGGGCTGTATTTCTCGCAGCCATGAATTTGCTTCATCAACATCTGCAAAGTACTGAAGGGAACACAGGAGAAGAAAAGGTTGGGTTTCATCCTGGAGGCTTCTTTGCAACATCCTTCCTCTTTGGGAAATCATCCTGAGCAAGGCAGAAATTCCATAAGAACTGAAGCTCAAAGGTTACTCCCAGGTGCTATTAGAGGTTACTCCCAGGTGCTAGGTTTAAGGTGTAAGCTATGAATTATGTGGCTCTAGAGCTCTAAAGCCTTGATATACTTCGTAATAACTCACCAGATCACTGTGCATAAAATAGATTCAAGCATTGCCCTCTATAACTCTTTGAAAATACCTAAGTAATTCAACCTTTACAATGTTCAATAGGGGCTGTAAAAAGCACTGGCAATATAAGACATTTCACAGGAGACTATGCAATTTCAACAGACAATCCAACAGCTATTTTCTAAATGTTCCCAAGAGTAACCTGGCAATGAAAAATGAATTCAGACTCTACAATAAAGAACTTCTTTCTTTTATGAATAGCATCTAACAATATATGATAGTAAAAAAAAAACAAAAAAAAAAAAAAAACCAAACCAACCAAACAAAGCAAACGAGATGTTGCAATACAGAATAAAATACAACAACCTTTCTTCTCCCCTCAATAGCAGTGAAAGAAAACATAATGATGTTTCAAGGCTGAACAAAAAAACAAGTAGGAAAGAGGCAATTATAAAAATACCTGAGATACTGATATATAATTTATGAATGATGATTTTATAGCAGCTCTGCAGTTGTGTGAATGTTTGTATGTGCGAGAGAGCTGTGCAGATCACCACGGCAGGGCCCAGTGTTTCCCGGGCTTTGGAAAATTGATTATCATGGGCATTCATTTTGCTATGATTTTTTTTTTAAATAATAAAATATAGCTATCCAGATCTCACTCTCAGAAAAGACTGTGCATCAGCATTATGTGAGCTACTTCCAATAGGATTTTCAGTGGAGAACCACCACCAGCCGAGGAACTCTGCTAGGCACAACCACTCCTCTCCGCTGCCTGCCCAGGTTGCAGGAGGGATGAGCCTGAACCTCTGGCTGTGTCTTTCTGAAGTCCAAAGATTTCCATTTCTGTGTCTCTGTCACAGAAATGCCACGACACACCACTGCATAGCCCCGCTGACCTGCTTGATGAGAGCTGCTGCCTGCAGGCGTCTTTTGCGATCAGCCACTTCATCTTGGAGCTGCTGCCACAGCTTTTGGAGGTTGTCCGTCTGCCTCAGGATGTCCTCCTTGTGCGCCTCGTTCTTCTGGCTCAGCTCCCAGCCCCTCCTCATGACATCTGCACAAACAGCCCCATGGGAGTTGCACTCCGCTTCCAGGGCCTAGCAGAGGGATGGGAGATAACACGAGCAAAAGTTACTCACCACTAGCTTAGAGCAAAACCAGATCTTATTGCTAGCTACTATAAAACAGGCTTTCCTAAGAGCCCTCTGCCTTATCTGTCCCTAGAACTCTTCCCAGGGCCACAAAACAACACTCCTCCCCACCAAGTTACTGTCCTACTTGTTGCCTTGGTCATGAAGGTTGCTACTTTGAGGGAGATGCTTTTTTTTTTGTCTACCACTCCAGCTGTTTTACCCTTCTGGAAATAGCATACAGAAACAGATGGGGACACATACGTATTACAGATTACAGAAGGGACTCTGGTGTCAGTTTCATCAAGGATTCTCAACTCTGTGGGTCTCTCTGCTTGTTCGCATTGATCCTTTGCCATTAAAGAAAAAGCAGTAGTTTTCATGGCTGAACTTTTGACACTCGCCCACAGCAAGCTTTTAGGGAAAGCTCTAGTTCTTTCTAGTGGTGTGAGAGCTCTTCAAGTGCTATACTGACTAAACTGAAGGACACAGACGTTCTGAAGTCTTGCCATAACGCAAAGAAAAGAGCACCAGCCAAGTAAGATACCTTGTGCTTCTGAATAGAGGCTGTAATCTGGCTGACATCTTTCCCTAATGTTGTCGTTCTTGCTAGCTTCCATTTCTCAGAGATCCATAATTCTTCTTCCTTGCAGTCACGGAAGAATTCAAAAAGCTTCAAGGCCTCTTCTAGCTGAGATTTGCTGAAAAATAGAAAGAAACACTATTTTCACTGTCAGATTGGGATCTCTTGGGGACAATGGTACAGAATACCTTAATCAAAGTGCTTCAGAATTTAGAAAATCCAAAACTTGAGTGCCTATAATTACTCTTTGTCATAGCTTAATTTATCCTTTCCTACTTCCTCTAGAAGAAGTGTAGACAACTGATATGCTATTCAGACCATGTATTCTGGCAAGTAAAAATAAATGCTAAGCATGACGCTATTCTTCAGCTGTGAGAGTTAGTGAACCCTTTCAGTCAGCTGTAATGAAGACACTCAAACTGCTTGCGTAAGGTGTTTCTAAACAGGGAAACGAGAAAATCTAAGCGCTAGGACCTCTGTGTCCTGCAGTTTAAGAGGGATTGTAAACCATCCCAATCAGCAAGAAAAGAGCCACAAGTACAGCCCTACCGTGTCTTGCTCAGAGATCCAAGGTTCTGATACAGCTGACGAAGCATCTGAACTTTCGCATAAAGCACTTCTGGTTTAACTGTCTTGTCCTTGCTGAGTTCTGCTGTCCTTTGGGTGATATATGTCAATCTGTCATCATAGGAAGAGATTTGTGAGTCTATCAGGTTGTGCTTCTGCAGCAAATCTACTACTTCCAAGAGCTGCTTCCCACATTCCTGGGAATTCACCAGTATCTGCAACAAAGTGAGAAGGAAATGGCATTGGTAGAGAGTGTCATTTAAGGGTTCAACACAAAGAAATCAATTAAAAGCTTCTGGTTGACTTTGATCAATTTTAAATGTAAAGGATTGGTTTCAGCTGCGTAAAGGCTCTATCTGCCTAGTGAGAGGAATTATACATTTCTTTCAGTTTCACAGCATACTGTCACCAGAAGTAATGGTCTCTTCAAACAAGCTCCTCCTTTTTTTTCATATCTAAGTTATTCTACTGATGAAGCACTCAAAGCGTCAGCATTCTTGGGTCCAGTGAAAAGCCCTTTCCTGTACACTCCATAGATGCACAGGTTTTATCTGGAGAATTCTACGAGATCCCATTTTATGTTATGCTTTGACTGTTTTTTCTTTGAGGAACTTAAGCGCCTTTGCTATCTAAATAATAAAGGAATAAATACTAAAATTCCTATTTGATTTGGACCTACTGAATGCCTGAGAGTTTGCTTTCTTCCCAATTGAATCAATTATTCTAATGCAGGATATTATCTTTATGTATAACTTTCTTCTCTCATATACTTAGGCTATCATGGTCCCTGCAGTAAAAATAGTGATTCTTTTTCAAAATTGATGCTATCTGTTTGCACCAAGGAGACAGGGAGCACTCTAGACCACAGAAGTCCCTGAAATACAGGGGGTTTTCAGTGATGCACATGGATAATATTGTGAGCTGTGTGTTGGCAGAGAGGTCTTGGTACCTGTAACTCTTTCAGCTCCTCTGTAATGGCATCAATATCCCTCATGAGGCCCAAAATTTCCTGCATTGCCCTCAGAGAGTGTTGTCTTCTCTGCAGCTGATCCAGAAGATCTTCCCACTGTTTCGAAATGTTGTCTTGCCTGAGTAGGAAGAGAGAGAAAGGAGTCACTTGTAGCAAAGACTTTGGCTTTGGGCAGCATAGTCCCAGTGCTAACAGTTTGGGAGGAGCTAAATGAACACATACAATTCTTCCCAGTGGAGCAGGGATCACACTGCACAGGATAGGTCACAGCAAACATTTTTCATGGAAAAGAGTTTTTTTGGCAGAATACAGACTTTCATACAAACATGAAAATATCTCAAAACTATTTTTTGAATTATGGATCATTCAAGAAAAAAAATTAAAGAAAATGAAACATTTACATGCTGAAACTGTTCATAAGTAGAAAGAATTCTGGCCAGTTCTACTCATGGGGGCAAAGGCAAATAGCCACAATGCTGCTTCCTTCTCCACGCAACCAAACACCAGGACTAACTTTAACCTCCACCACTACACAGTCCCACAACTTCTCACTCACCTCTTCTTGATTTGGTCCTTGTCATGATAGTTCTCCTGGCTGATGACTGCAGCCATTTCAGCCAAATCTGTGAAGCGTTCCCTCCTGGGAAACACATCTGCCACAATAGCTTCCAGCTTCTTACTGGCAGCCTCCATCCTGTCTGCACTCTCCGGCCAGAAGTCCTGCCTCCCAATCACCTTTTGCATGTCTTCCAAGTACGACTCACGCAGGGCTGCCTTCTTCCGGAACCTCTGAGCTAGCTGTTCCAGCCTCTCTAGCCTCAACATCTCTGCCTGTAGAGCTTTTCCCCGGTTGTGCTCTGCCTTTTCCAGGATAATCCAGTGCTTTTCCACATCCTGTAGTGTTTTCCCTTCTGGGGGCAGGTATGGCCTTTGGTTGTTGGCTCTCTGCTTGGTCCTTATGTTGAAGAGATGAGCTTCAATCATACCTTTCTCTTGGTATTTGGGGGGCTTCTCCACTGTGCGAAAGGTCTTGAAGTTAGCCATGAGCAGCCACATTTCCTGAAGAGTGTTGGGAAAATGACGATCATCCAGCTCCATCACCTTCTGTTTAATCCATTTCAGGAGGTCAGAGACCATCTGCTCATACTGAAGCTTCAAGTCATCTATCTCCTTCAGGAAGGATACGATCTGTAAAGAGAACATGCAGTTACAAGACACATAAGAAGTGAAATGGAACAAAGTTAGTGAGCAAAATGTGACATCCTCATAAACCATGTTTAGGATCCCAATGACCTGCAATAAACATCAAGAAACTTGAAACAAGCAGGTTGCCACAGTCATCACATTTTTGTATCATCGTGGTGATGGCTGTCACATCTGAGGATAGGTGAAATTCTAGAATGATATTCCATAAAATATATTAAAATAAATGCTACTTAATGTCTCCTTTTGTTTTTATTTAAGAAAGGTTAATTTTCAAATTACATGACAATACTGGCTGCATGTGTGCAGAGACTGCCAACAGCTCCTGTGTGGACCAAAATGCAAGAATCCCAAGCTGAGGATTCAAATTCTGTTTCACAGTGGAACAAAACTGAGATTTTTTTCTATTCCTTTCATAAAAAGAGAAAAGGAACACTCCCACAGTCACACCCTGTCTGCTAATCTACAATTACTCCCTCCTAGATTCACTGCCTTAAGTAGGGGGAGAGCATCTGACAAGTTCCTCATTTGCCTGAGTCACATCCCGGCTCTCTGGCAACCCTAGTGCAGCCTGTGGTTGAGCAGCCCCTTCTCAGTTTCCTCTGTTGGAGCTGTTTCATCTCATATAAATTAAGAGGGAAAGAGAATGCATCATAACCAAACAGGTTGACTCAGTATTGATTTTCCAAGTCCACGACTTCTGTCTGTTTCATCTGTAGTCAGATCTGCATTTATGTGAATTTCAAGTAAATACCGTCCCTGGAAAATTTTTTTAGAATTGTATAATAAAATAAAAAAAAGTTAGAATGAAGCCATCCCTTCCCTCTGTTTTACATATTTTCCTTCTGCATCTTTTTATATTATATTTCTCCCTCACCCTACTCAGCAGCCCTCATTCTACATCGCTCTCTGCAGACATGAGAGTTTATGCTGAACAGTGTTGTCTGTCTGCCCGTCTGCGCCAGGCAGGCAGATTAGGAAGGGCGATGGCACACTGAGCAAAGACCCAGGCCCTGCAGGGGGTAATCTGCTTTTGCCTATCTGAAAGTGCACTTGGCAAGGAGGAAACACCACCGTGCTCAAAGAGGAGTAAAGCAGCACCAACCTTTAGTGCAGGAAAAGCAGCCCATGGCATCAGGGCACCCTTCTGTATTTTCTGCCATCGTACCCAGTTCTCGCTGAAAGATCCCAGGACGTGCATGGCCCCTTTGTGTGCCTGGGGGAAGGGAGATTTACCTCCCCGGCCCGATCCTCTCTGCCATCCTCATCACCCAGTTAGCCTCAACACAAACACTTCCTTGACACATTCAGGCTTCACACCCCAATCCTCTTAGTAAACTCAGAGCTGCCTATATGGGGGCACTAAGGACATGGAGAGATTAACATCTGCCTTGTTCTCCCTCTGTATATTTGCGAGTGCATGAAGTGCAAGAGGACAGGGAAACAATTTTAGGGACAGGATAAAAACATTGAAGAAGACAAGCCAAGAAAAAGAGGCAAATAAGTGCAAAGAGAGAAAGAATAGAATAAGTATGCCTATATTCTGTAAAGTAAAAAAAATGTCTGCAAAAATACCCTTTCCATTTTTGTCCATTAATTTAAAGTTTCCCTAGTACATACCTGGTGACAATAGGAAAGCTTAAAATACATTCAGCTGTCTAAAATTGTTCTGAAAGCAACTATTAGAATATTTCTACGATACTTCATCTTAGGTATAAAGAATAACTCTCAAACTCTCAGAAGAAACTCTGCTACTGTCCCCTGTGTAGATCATGTGTGATAGAGAATGAAATTTAGGCAAAATGCAAAAGGAAATCTCTTTCTTCTGAGGCAATGAAAATATTGTATCCAGAGACTGAGGTGGAGTCCAGTCAAAATCTATCCCCCACTCTCCTCATTTATTCCTAATCCTTATTTAACTAAACTCCAGTTTCTGCTATCTATCTAACACTTCTCTTCAGAGAATATCACTGCTACCTATATATGACCCAGGATCACCTTGTTCTTGTCACAAGCTACTTAGCTAAGAAAACACTGCTTTGCAAAAGCTGTTCACCTTGTGAAGACCAGGGAAGTCCTGGTTTTGATTTTTATTTTTCCTGTTCATCAAGATATTCCCCTACCACAACAGCAGGCCCCATTCTGGGTATGTAGATTTTTCTGTGGGCTCTTTGTCCTGTACTTTTGACAAAACCAGAATGGATTATTTTGAAGGTAGAAGAGAAATTCTCCCAAAGGGAAGTATTCATCAGTGGAATAAGCACAGTATTTTGGCTAGTACTACTCAAAATTCCTTCAGCTTTCCATTAAAAGCATGTAAGTAATTTTAACACAAATCATAATTGTGTGAAGCAAAATGTATATGAAACCCGCCCCCCCTCAAAAAAGAGAGTCCTTTCTTTTGTTTTTCCAGGAGTTTCCTTTTCTTTTACACTCTCCCATTTTTCATGCCCTTGTTTGCTTTTCACACCTCATTATGGAGTTAGAAAGAAAGGATGAGGATTTTTTTTTACAGGAAAACCAATTTCAGAGTAGTCTCATAGAATAGGAGACACTCTTTCCTGTTAAATAGGAAAATTGATGACTAGCTTTGCTTTTACCTAGCTGCAATCCTCCCAAGATTGATGAGGTCTGTATGCTTTAAGCTGCCTTGATGCACGTCAGCTCTCAGAGAAAACGTGAGGTCAAAAAGAGATCTGCTCCCAGTGACATAAGCACCATCTTTTAGAGATCAGAGAGTCTACAGACACGTCTCAAGATTCAAGTCACAGTACAAGAGCCTCTGAAATGACCGTGACATTTAATTCAGGTCAAATAATCCTGAAGTTACGCTTATGCTAATAAACATCTCCAAAACAAATTTAACTTTATGTGAATGAAAAGCAGAAACAGAGATAGAAATAAGAGAGAACTTAGATATACAGTGACGCCCTTACTTTGGCAAGTCGCTTCTGGATTGTCTGGCCTTGTCTGAGCCTGGAGAAGTAGTGGTAGTACAGCGACACGTAGGTCATGATGGACCTCTCATCTGGGTGGGGCACTGCCACATCCTCAGCATCCAGCAGCTTACCAATTCCCAGCTCCTTCTCTGCAACGTTGAAGGCGTTGTTCAGGTTCTTGATGGGCTGGTCCTGCCGCAGCGAACTGTAGTGGATAAGATCGGGCCTGGACAAGGAGAAGAAAAGGGGGTGGAGGGAAGAGAGATTTGTGTTTAAGGTCTTTCACATGATAAGATATAAACTGTTTATTAGAATAAGTAATGTGACATAAATCCTGAAATTACTCTGGCTCTGAGCTTCATTTGAGAGCATTGAACCTCACTTAGGCTGGAGGAGGAAAATTGCCAGCTCAGGAAGCTCAAGTACCACCACTCCCCAGCAGACCTCTGTGCTTTGTTTCCTTCATCTTCACTGGCTGGTGAAACTCAAAGCATGTTAGTGAAGCAATTCTGAGAAGGCAGCTTACTCCTAGATGGAAAAGCGATAGGCTTCCCCCAATCCTGCCACATGATGGAGCAGAATTGAGAAAATAATTATTCAAGGCTCTCACATGTGGCTTCTCTCTCCTGCCTTGCACTGTATTTTCCACATTTTCTGAGAGAGAAAATGGAAGAAAAAAAAAACTGACAGTTTGTTTACTCTGTTACAGCTGAATTTAAAAGTGGAATGCTCACGAAGCTTGTACAATAAGAAATATCTCTGAAATAATCCATAACTTGTTTAAAAGTGCAGCTGAAACACGATCAGGAAGGCTAAGACCAAATAGGAACTTGTTTAGATGTGTGTATTCCCTTGGAAATTCCAATTTACTTTCAGTAAAGGGAACTACCAAGCAGATAGCATTTGGTTCTTCTTTCTTCAGAGGGAATGGGCTCATAAAAAGGAGAGATTTCCGTGAGAAAGGGCAAAGGGACAATTCTACGTAATTTTGAAAATACAGACACTTTGGGCCATGGAACAACTTATGCCAGAGTTGTGAGGAAAAAGCAATGAGGAATTGCTCCTGAACTGATCCATCAGCTCTTACCTGTGAGCATGAATGAGTGCGTTGAAGGCCAACCCATCACTCCAGCTTTTGGAGAAATCCTTCACATTCACATTGGAATAACTGGCAGTTTTATGCTGACACCAGATTAGTAAGGCTTCATTGGCAAAGAGAAAATCAGCTTTGCCTCCAAATTCTTCCTGTGAAGAAGATGCAGAAAAGTCAGGCAGACAGTATATGGAAGTAGCATGAGTGAGTTTATGCCTATGTTTCCCAAAATGCTCTCTCTTACTTTTGATCTGCTCTCAAAGTCCCTCTAACAGTTGTAACAGCTTTAACATATTTAACTAGATTTACAATGAAAGTCGAATGATTGGACATAAATGTAAACTTCTGAGAAAGTTAATCGAACAAACGTCTAAAATATAATTTTAAATGCAGATGTTAAAAAGTTTCTGATTTTTTTTTCTGCAAAATTTGTAGAAACCAAGTGAAACGCAGAAGAGACATAAAGCTCAGTTCAGTTTATATATTTCTTTAGATTCAGTCTGGAAGTCAGAAACATAATACAATATATGTATATCTAATGTTAGAAATGACCAGCTTTGATTTCACAGTATCTTCAAAGGTACCTCTCAAGTACTTAAGAGTACACATTAAATAAAGGTTATAAAACTAGCTTTTCTTAAAAAAAAATCTTTACAAAAGACGAGATGATCAGCATGTAGTTAAAAGCTGGAGAGAGCTTTTAACTGGTCTAAAAAAGCTGGTCCTTTCTTGTTGTTTTACCTTATCAAGTTTGATAGATGAAATCTGAAATCGAAGTATAATGATCCAGATGAGTCCCAGGATTAAGGTTTTGTCACCATCTACGATATTCTCAGGGCCAATCACTTTTACTTGCACCTGCTAAAAAACAACATCTGTTCATCATGAAACAATTCTCAACCAGACATCTGTGTAGCAAACTGTGTGATGAGAGTGTTAGTGACTGTCTTTTCCATGGGAACTAAGAACGTTTATGATAGTTTGCCTTATCTCTCTTACAGTCTAGGGAACAGCCCTTCACATATCTTTTCACATGACTAAAACTTTCATCAGAAAACGTGAATTTGAGGAAAGAATTCTTTTCTGTTGTGAAGGTGCAGATTTTGAGTACAATTCAAACATTTTATGGAAAACAGTATTTCAGATCAGCATTTAAAAAGCAGTATCTTTTCCTTTAGGTGTGGCATTTTTTTGCTCGACATTAGATGCATATAAGTTAGGCTAATCAGATATCAAAAAAGTCAAATCAAGACTTAAAGCAAGAACAACAACAAAACAGCCAGCTCTATATGGGAAGAACATCTTACGGTGTATCAGAGGGGGAAATCATGATGAACATAATACTAAAACCAGTTATTGACATTTCTAAACTGTTGTCATCTGTGATACCCATACCTACCTTAGATTTCAAGAACATAATGGCTTTGCTGTTGTTCTCCAGAAAGTGCACTCTCATTTTTCCCCTGTTCGGTCTGGGCAAAGATTCTCCAGAGAGCAGCTCCAGGAGTCGCATGAGATATATGCCATCCTTCAGCTCGGTATAAATATCTTCTATCACAATCTTTACCTGCAAAACCCAGGCACACAGTTCAACTCTTCAGCCTGGGTAGCTCAACAGCTGGCCCTCAGAGCCCTCTGCTTTAAGTGACAAGCAAAGAACAACTTGTTGCTGTTCTCACTAAATTTACTGTAGGTCAGTGCATAAGTGTAAAACATAAGTGGATCTGACAAATCTTAATTCACTAAAAATGAATATGCAGAAAGACTGACGTCATTTATGATTCTGGGCTAAAATCGATTAAATGATTAAAGAAGTAAAGAACAAAACCAGGATAAAGTAAACATAAAGTACTTTATAAAGCATCAAACTATTTCAACATTTTCAAAATCAAAAATTTTGGAAGTACTGATATTTTTAGGCCAATATATCGATTCAAATAAATCTTTTCCACTTTTAATTTTTGAGTAATGCATCTAATTTAAAAATTCTGCTGATAATCCCAAAGTGAAGTTAATCTGGACAAAGGAAATGAGATTAACTCATGTACAGGTTTGCTAGGTTCAATGACTCCTTTCAAGTCCATAGTCTTAAAGTCTGATACATCCTGGTTAGACGTCTTCCAAAGTCTCCAGACTTATCACCAGTCTCACGCTAAGCTCCGTCATTATGTGAAAAAAAATAGTATCTTTTGCAAAAACTATCTAATTCCTGCCAGCAGTGAGATCACAGAATGCTTATGTGATATGACATGACACAGCGTGTACTCTGAGCTTGCAGGAGCTTGCTGCCTTAGGCGTTTCCTTTCGGCTTTATGCCAGTAGCCATCAAGAGGTGACACTAAGACCTTATTACACACCCAGGAATAATTTACTGTGATTTTGAAATCATAGTAAATTAGCTTTTTGTCTCCAGAAAAAAAAAAAGAAAAAAAAAAAAAGAAGAGAGTAACATGGAGACTTCTATTTTAATTCCTGACTGTCCTGACTGGATTTTTTTCCAGAGAATCAATAGATGACTGAAAGCAGAAAAGAAGCTCAGAGACACTTTAGGTCTGTACTTTGTGTTGAGCAAGAACTGACAACATTTTTTGACTTATCATCCATGTGAAAGAACTCCCTGTTTAGTTGCTATATTTATTCTTCCACTTTCTTTTATACACTGCATAAAGGCCTTTAGATAGGCCTAAAATTCTGTGTATTGTACCTTATTATTCAAAAGCTAAATTTGTTATGTTCTATGGAACTTTCGTTCATGAAGAGTAGTTCCATTTTATTTTATTCATAAAGAGAACTTCATATATTTGTACTATGCCTCAACTGCTGATATACTTTAATAGCTTGTAGTATTAGTTTGATAGTTGCATCAAACAGGCTTTGAATTAAAATACCAATCACAGGATTACTTAACAAATTAAATCCAATAGCATTCTTATTGCTAGACTAGAAATAATCAGCAGTGAAACTGAAAATACTGTAGTACGAACCTGCCAAGTTAAAGTGTTCTTTCAAAGGCTGAAACTAGATTGCTAATAAGCCTTTGATAAGCTCCAGGCCCTGCACTGTTTATTACCATATATGGCTTGCAAAGCTCTCTCCTTTTTTTTATTTATTTTTTTCCCTCCACTTATGACACACCAGCCGACACTGTCAGGCTGTCAAGGAAGTTCAGAGTGACATTTTAATCTTTGAACTCCAAGGTGTTCTAAAAATGATAAAGTATGTACATTTATTTGTGGCTATACAGAGGTAAGCTCCTACATCATAAAAGCCAACTTTCTGCAGGTAACAAAACCAGATTGTGTTTTGCAGTTCTCCCCTTCTATTAAGAAAAAATAATTTAAAAGTTTGGTGTGCTCTGAAGCTACCTGTTCACCAATCACTACGTTGCACTAATAGACTTTAAAAAAAATGCATCTAATACTGAAACATCCATCATAGTGATGAAGTAGAAAAAAATAAGAGAGCTGGTCCTACTTGGTCCATTGTCATTAGTATCAGCCACAGACTCTGCAGAAAGGAATTATTCTTGGGTAATTCCCTGCTACCATACATCACTTGTGCCTGAGATGAGTTTATGTGAAGTATATGAGTTTATATGATATTTGGAATATGCTGGAGTTACCTGTCATGCACAAATCAACTGTGCACTAGTTTTGATGCTTTCTGGAAGTCTCAGTTACTGCAAATGAGCTGATCTGTGTGGGCACAGCAATATGTCTGAAACGGCTAGACCTAAAGAGTTTTTTCAGAACCACGGAGCAGTAACACTACCTGGACTGATCTGCATCCAGAAATCTCAGGCAAAGTAGAAAATTTTTAAATTTTGGTGGAGCAATTAAAAATTGGACATTGTTTTGGAAACTCAGACACTTCCAAATACTTCACTTATAAGAAGAAGAACAGATATTACTCCAGGAGGACCTACAAGATATAGTGGACATCACGAAAGTGACATGGTAATAGGCAGATAGTCTAGGAAAGTGAACTACAGTTTCAAAGAAGATATGTATCTCATTTGCCTGTGTTACCTATGAGAGAAAAGATTTAGGCTAGAACACTATGGTTAGCCAAAGCCTTTCTTGCCTGTATGCATATATAATGATGACACTGAAAAAAAGAGTTTGAAAAAAATAACATGGAGAAGAATAGAGTGAGTGGAAAAAAAAAAATCAGGAAAAAGTCCAAAAGTGGAGGAACCACCTACATTATTCCTGAAGAAGACATTGTTCATCCAGTTGGTGAAGGTTTTCTTTTGCATGGACATTCGCTGCTCCTGCAGCTTTTTGATGTGATCTTTCTCATATTCTGTATCCATGGTCACCTATGAAGCCAGAAACTCCAGTGAGGTGTTCAGTGTTGAAGGAATCTGCCCAGGGAGATACCAACAGCAGTGCTGTACCCAACCTATGTGGGGAACCCAGTCACAACAGGTACAAGATTCAACACCACACCCAGTATAATGCCTTCATTTCCTTTGGCTTGCACTTTGCTCCTTCTTTTCATCCCACTTTATTTTCACGTACTTGAGTCTTCCCTTTTAAAATACTTGTCTGCTTTCAGAATGAAAATGAGACATGTATTTGTGCAGCTTTAGTTTCTTTCAGTCTCTCCCCAGTCATCTGATCCCATTGAGTGCACCATGATCTGAAAGCCATCAGGAAGGTCCTTCAATGGGACCTGATCTTCGACCTTCTCAGAAAGAGAGAAGGATCAGCGAGTCACCTCCCAATGTGCATGTATTTGAATGCATTATGCTCACTGAGATCCTGCTGTTACCTTTCAGACCACAGTTGTGTCCACAGAAAGCTGATTAGAAAGGAAAGAGAACCAGCATGCTTTCACCTTCCCATGATCTCAGTTTTTCCATATCTATCTCTTTAAGGATAGTGATAAAGGTCTGCAGTCACAAAGACAGAGAAGGGAGCAAGGAAGTACAAATCATTACAGTACCCAATGTAAATGTTCAGAGAGATTATAAAAAGGAGAGTCTTCCTTGTGGAGTTTATGATGCATTAAACTGGATTTCAGCCCTACTGAGCGGTTCTATTCGAATCATTGGGCTTGAGGTCCAAGACCATAACGAGAATGTCCATTGCACATGGAAAGCAAGAGGATAATTTAAGTGAGTCAAAGATAGTTACAGAGATTTTTAATCACCAAACATCATCTCCTTGGACTACTGCCATAGTCCTAAGAATTACCTGGGTATCAGACTAGCTGTAAAAACAGGAAACCTGCTGTAGTGGTGCTAGAAGAGTCTGGGGGTGTCAACTCGCTGTAAAAAGAAAAGAGAATAAAAAAAAAAAATCAACATCTGTGTCAATCCGTGAAGATATGAAGCAGGGCGACCTCCTTCCTATCTGCTGTGCAGAGACCCCGTACTCTAGGCTCTGGGGCCTTTAACTTGTTAAATCACTGAATAAAAAATACTATCTGTTCTAGTGTGAGAAGAAAGACATAGGGAAGTAGCAGAGCAGCCACAGCAAGTAGGAAGTTGCTTACCTGAAAATCTTCCTTTCTCAAATAAATATGAATGATTGTGCCATTTTACAAGGGGGAAGGGTACAGGAAGTGGAAAAATAATGATTTGTTACTGTGTATCTTTCTCTTTTTTATTTTTTTTCAACCCCCTAATGCTCTGCTTCTGCAAACCAGAGAACCTTGAAAGTTGACAAGATCTGCCCACTTGCAAGTATCATGAACATAAATGAAAGCCTTACGAAAGCAAAGAATTTAACAAAGTTTGAAATAGAACTGCAAATAGATTCTCAAAATATTTTCTGATCTTTTGGGCTAGTTAGCACTGTCACTTTATCCATTTGGAGAGCAGATATCCAAAGAATTTCCTTTTTCTGCCAAGGAGGGTGATATAACCCGTTCCTCTTCCATTCTCAAGGATGCTGACATCTCTTACATGTGCTACCCTCCAAGTGAAGGATAACATTTGATCCTGCATTTTCTGACTGTTTTTATACCAACTGACTCTATACTCAAGTTACTGAAAACTAATCAGAAGCAATAGGATCTGCTTGCTACTACCTCTAATATGGAGAGCTAAGCACTCAAAAACTGGCAGTTGTGGACAGCCTATCAGAATGGACAGCCTATCAGAAATTTAATTCAGTCTTTTTTTTTTTTTTCTTTTTTTTTCCTAAAGTGCACAAGGTAGAGTGTCATCACCCAGTCTTGGATATGGACCCTGTCTTCTTTCAGTAACAGTACTGAAATACTGATCACAAATATATTATCACTAGCAACTTGAAATTTATCAACTGCTTTGGATGTTTATGTTTGTTGACTTACTACAGAGTAAACATATATAAATGGATACAAACAGGCATTGCATATTGACAGCAGTTCAGTATCAAAGCTGAGAAATGAACAGGCATCTCTTCCCACAGCAAAATTCCAGCTATTCCCTAGGGTGGCACATTATTCTTTGTTGTTTCTTATAACTTATTCTATAGCTAATAGACACAAGGATTTCATCCAGAGTTTATGTTTGCTATTTCTTACAGAATATTTTCTCATCTCAGGAAATCCACACCAGTTAACATGGAGCTCTAATTTATAATAATACCATTTCTGAATTTGCAAAATAGTTCTCAGAGTATAATGCAGGTTTGCAGGCACCTTGAGCAATGGCTATACAGATTTCATTTAGCTGAAAAGGAAACTTATTTACTGAGTTACTGCCTCATACAATAGTTTACCTTTTAAATTAAGTTTGCCAGAAATGCATAGGAAGAGAAATCTGTAATGGGTTATCTGTATTTGCAGGTTATAAGGGCAGTGCTAAAAGCCAGATATGGCTGTAGCAATACATTAGAGAAGATCAAAAAAAAAAAAAAAAAAAAAAAATCTAAAAAATCAGCACTTACTCAGGTTTGAAGGAACTCCTTTCTCATATTCACCATCTGGTCACTCTGGGGAATGGCTTTCAAAGCTATGTTCACTCCTATTCCTACATTCACCTCTCCACTTCCACGTGGGACGACCTGTGAAATCAGGAATTGAGACCAAGTATTTATAATCTACCTATGAACCTTTCACGTGACTCTGGAGGAAATAACCCGTTAGAATGCAATGAGCAAAGGTTGTCACTGGCGTTATCTGATTCTTACACTCAACATGACATACAAATGACACTGCTATAATATGGTGAAAATAGTCATCCACCCTAAAACTGATGCTTTGGAAAAGGGCATTTAGCCTTTCTCAGTTTCATTGAAGAGACTGATCACAGGCCACTTTTCTTAGAATATTGTTACCAGGGAACTTAAACTTGAAGTCTGACAAATTTCCAAATGCTTGAATTGGGATAAAGCAAGGAAGAAGATGAAAATCTTACATTTCAGAATTCAGCATTCATCCCTTTGAGGGCGTTGATGCATCCGCGCTATCACCTACTGCTACAAGGTGTACAGGGAGAAAGCTGGCAGTGGCAGGCATGCTTGTAAAATTTACTATTGACGGACTTCCCGCAAGAGGAAAAGAATATTCCTGGTAACTTAAGGGCGCTGAGCCCTTGCTGTTACTGTCAAGCCTGCACAAACACTGGGCACATTGACCTGGCTTCATTGCTGGAGAAGACAGGGCTGCTGCTGGAAATTACTGCTAGAAAACGAGCAGGCATTTGAAATAAGAAATGGTAAACAGATGTGCCCAGCTTAGGATGTGGTAAGAAAATACCAGGCTTTCCCTGCTGGCCTGAATAGTTTTGTTAGAGCAGAAATGCTGGCAGGGGAGTTGCATTAGAAGAAAATGCACAGAAATTCCAAAACGTAGTATGCATAAAACTTGAGAAAGGAAATCTGTATCTCCATACTCCCTCCAGAGAAATGCCATGTTCAGTGTATTTAAGTATTTATATTTCAAGTATTGCTCAAAATATTCCCTCCAAAGTCCTGGACTTGTCTTCACCAGCCAGCTTAGCCAGCATCATTCTTAACAATCAGCTTTAAACGAGAGGAAAAATGAAGGAGGGAAAAGGGTATGAATTCAGCAGTTTTTTTCACCTCATCTGTAAGCTCATTGCTTGATTATAATTCCACTCTCCTCTTGTTTTTCATTATACCTCTGTTGTTCTGTTCCTGCAGTGTGATCCTTGGCTCCTGGCTGTAGCTCAGCAGAGCTGTCCGTTGAGAAACGCCTTGTCATTGCTTTTATCAAACACAAGCACTGATTTTATCTAATATAAGGCAGGGAATCAGTAGGTGAATTGGCCCTGGATGGAGCCCTTTCTCCCTCTTGCAAGTTAATTATTATCTAATGATCAAATGTGTGAAACGTTTTTTTATGGTTACACAGGCAATCAAAAGTCTGGTGTAAAATTTCTCTAATTCCTGAATGAGGATCCTGATCTGTGGAATCCACAGTTTAGAGCTCAAATGGTGGTCATGGATGTGGCGCTGAGGAATAAGGCCTTCCTATCAGTTATTCAGATCCTAACGCACCAAGAGGAAGGGGAAAACACTATTTGCATGTAGCTTCCCGGGCAAAGAGGGAGAGGCTCAGGGGTGCTTTCTTCACTCTATGAACAAACTCTCTCCCTTTTTTTTTTTTTTTAATATATAATAATATATATATAAAATAAATAAACTATCAGCCTTCCTTGTTGCTTATGAGTCCTCTCTCTTGCTACCTTCACAGAGAAGTGGGACCTCATCTCCGATGTTGGAAAGGGGCAAAGGGCACTCTCCCCCTTGCCCTGGAAACACCACCATAAAACAGTACTTTCTTGTATCTGAAAAAGGAGGCTCCTCATGTGGCAACATGGAGGAGAGGGACATGAAACTTCCTTTCCACTTACTTGGATTTTTGTTGTTGTGACTTTTTGTTCTTCACATCACATGCATGTGAACGAGTGAGCTCTGCTACCCATCTCAGCATCCAACAACATTGCTTCCGCATGTTGAAATCCCACAACAACAAACACCCGAGTCTGGGCTCTCCGAGAAACAAGGGTAGTCCTCAGTGCCACAGGCTTGTAGCCCACAGCATGTTGAGAAAGAAAAAGAAATAGCTGGTTTATGCCATGGTGAAAAGCACTTGCTATTCCGTATCTTACGGGCGAAGACCAAATTGCCTCTTCATCCTCCCCAGCCTGTAAGCACAATGTGAAGGAACAAGCTAAAGGGGTTGGGAAAATAACAGTTTCTTTTCCAAAGACAACATCCACTTATTCCATATATTAGATCTATGCTTAAGGACCATCGGGAATACATACTCACAACTTAGGTGGAAAGAGGAGTGCAGCCTCCTTCTCTGGACTCCTGACATGGGGATGCTGCCTATCCCTGACTATGCTCAGGC